GTAGAGATGTTTTAAAATCTTATGAGCTTTGACCTTCATATGCGCAGAAACATAATTCCGACCGTCGCCTAAATTATTCTACGTCCTAAAAACATTACACCTATTATTCACAGTCTCTCTCGAGCTCTAGCGTAAACAAGCCTTTGATCCGATTACAAATATCATAATAAAATGCCCTATTCTTTATTATTTTAATTTAAACAATAAAAATATATATAACGAACGTTCGCCAGTTGACTTTATTGATGCCCGAGCGCCTTAGTTCATTTCTAGTTGTAATGTTCTAATTCTGAGTCAATGTTTTCACAACGTGCTTATTAGAAGAATTATGGGGATACGCCACGCCTTTCGCGCATTTCGCGGCTCATGAGATATTAAAAGATCTTTACCATACAACGTATAGCATAAGCAGGTGACGCTGATCGAAATCAGTTTGTATTTCGCTTGACTTCGTAGCGTTGTTTACGGCGGTTGTCATGGCAACGAAGCGGGCAACATGTGCGTAAACTACGACGCACACTGGGGATTTTTGTATGGAGGTGTTGTTTTTTTTAATATAGTAATTTAAAGACTGCTGTAATTTTATTTATATAGTAGAACATAAAATAATTCAGATTAAAAAAATATATATTTGGGGGTGAAAAGCAAAGGGGTACAAGTATCAAAATTAAAAAAATTGAGTTATATGCAGGAATCAACACTTCGCGCCGCGCCACTATTCTATGGCTAGAAATTGGCCTCAATGATTTGGGATCGAGGGGGATTATCCCTCTTTATCCTGCCTCATCTCGTGTAGGCCTGGACAGCCTTCGTAGGTGGGCCCCATCCGTCGTCTACCCCGACCGCAAATGCGGCCGGTGTAGGCGCTTTGTGGGACCTCCTTTTGTCCTGGCTGGGCCCCGCCGGCTAGGGCCCTTTCTTCTGGCGCTCTTCTTGCTTCGCCGGCTCGTCTGTGTAAACCCCGGGGGTAGTGTCATGTTTATGTGTGGTATGGTTGGGTAGGGTAGTGCGGCTATGCAGCCTGGGATGCGCTTTGCTAAGG